AGTTGTGGCTGCGACTTCCAAGGCGTGCCACGCTGCTACTAGATCGGAGGTGCCCTATGCTTGGTGCACGGTGGCGACGTAGTGGCTGAGACATCCAATGTGTGCCACGCCGGTGCTAGATCGGCGGCGCCCTATGCTTGGTGCACGGTGGCGACGTAGTGGCTGCGACTTCCAATGTGTGCCACGCTGCTGCTAGATCGTCGGTGCCCTATGCTTGGTGCACTGTGGCGACGTAGTGGCTGCAACTTCCAATGTGCGCCACGCTGGTGCTAGATCGGCGGTGCCCTATGCTTGGTGCACTGTGGCGACGTAGTGGCTGCGACTTCCAATGCGTGCCATGCTGGTGCTAGATCGGCGGTGAACTATGCCTGGTGCACTGTGGCGACGCAGTGGCTGCGAATTCCAATCCGCGCCACGCTGGTGCTAGATCGGCGGTGCCTTATGCTCGGTGCACTGTGGCACGACTTCCAACGCGTGCCACGCTGGTGCTAGATCGGCGGTGCCCTACGCTTGGTGCACGGTGGCGACGTAGTGGCTGCGACTTCCAATGTGCGCCACGCTGGTGCTAGATCGGCGGTGCCCCATGCTTGGTGCACTGTGGCGACGTAGTGGATGCGACTCCCAATGCGTGCCACGCTGGTGCTATACCGGCGGTGCCCTATGCTTGGTGCACTGTGGCGATGTAGTGGCTGCGACTTCCAATGTGTGCCAAGCTGGTGCTGGATCGGCGGCGCACTATGCTTGGTGCACTGTGGCGATGTAGTGGCTGCGACTTCCAATGCTTGCCACGCTGGTGCTAGATCGGCGGTGCCCTATGCTTGGTGAACTGTGGTGACGTAGCGGCTGCGACTTCCAATGTGTGCAACGCTGCTGCTAGATCGGCGGCGGCGCCCCATGCTTGGTGCACTGTGGCGACGTAGCGGCTGCGACATCCAATGTGCGCCACGCTGGTGCTAGATCGGCGACGCCCTATGATCGGTGCACTGTGGCGACACAGTGGCTGCGACTTCCAACGAGTGCCACGCTGCTGCTAGATCGGCGGTGCCCTAGGCTTGGTGCACGGTGGCGGCGCAGCGGCTGCGACTTCCAATGCGCGCAACGCTGGTGCTAGTCCGGCGGCGCCCTATGCTTGGTGAACTGTGGCGACGTAGTGGCTGCGATTTCTACTGTGCACCACGCTGGTGCTAGATCGGCGGTGCCCTATGCTTGGTGCACTGTGGCGACGTAGTGGCTGCGACTTCAAATGCGCGCCACGCTGGTGCTAGATCGACGATGCCCTATCGGTGCACTGTGGCGACGTAGTGGCTGCGACTTCCAATGCGTGCCACGCTGGTGCTAGGTCGGCGGTGCCCTATGCTTGGTGCACTGTGGCGACGTAGCGGCTGCGAATTCCAATGCGTGCCACGCTGGTGCTAGATCGGCGGTGCCCCATGCTTGGTGCACGGTGGCGACGTAGTGGCTGCGACTTCCAATGTGGGCCACGCTGCAGCTATATCGGCGGTGCCCTATGCTTGGTGCACTGTGGCGACGCAGTGGCTGCGACTTCCCATGCGTGCCACGCTGGTGCTAGATCGGCGACGTCCTATGCTCGGTGCACTGTGGCGACACAGTGGCTGCGACTTCCAATGTGCGCCACGCTGGTGCCAGATCGGCGGTTCCCCATGCTTGGTGCACTGTGGCGACGCAGTGGCTGCGACTTCCAATGTGTGCCACGCTGGTGCTAGATCGGCGGTGCCCTATGCTTGGTGCACTGTGGGGACGTAGTGGCTGCGACTTCCAATGCGTGCCCCGCTGGTGCTAGATCGGCGGTGCCCTATGCTCGGTGCACTGTGGCGACGTAGTGGCTGCGACTTCCAATGCGTGCACCGCTGGTGCTAGATCGGCGGTGCCCCATGCTTGGTGCACTGTCCCGACGTAGTGGCTGCGACTTCCAACGTGTGCAACGCTGGTGCTAGATCGGCGGTGCCCCATGCTTGGTGCACTGTGCCGACGCAGTGGCTGCGACTTCCAATGTGTGCCACGCTGGTGCTAGATCGGCGGTGCCTTATGCTCGGTGCACTGTGCCGACGTAGTGGCTGCGACTTCCACGGTGTGCCACGCTGGTGCTAGATCGGCGGTGCCCTATGCTTGGTGCACTGTGGCGACGTAGTGGCTGCGACTTCCACTGTGTGCAACGCTGCTGCTAGATCGGCGGTGCCCCATGCTTGGTGCACTGTGGCGACGAAGCGGCTGCGACTTCCAATGTGTGCCACGCTGGTGCTAGATCGGCGACGCCCTATGCTCGGTGCACTGTGGCGACACAGTGGCTGCGACTTTCAACATGTGCCACGCTGGTGCTAGATCGGCGGTGCCCTATGCTTGACGCACTGTGGCGACGCATTGGCTGCGACTTCCACTGTGTGCCACGCTGGTGCTAGTCCGGCGGTGCCCTGTGCATGATTGGTACACTGGCGGCGCTCGATGGCCGGCGCCTTATGATGGTGCCTCAGTATCTGCGACG